GACAATATTGTCTCAAAAACTGAGGTGCATAAGCTCAGATCAATGAGGCCTACGATCAGTTATCTACAAAAAGAAAAACGTGCTAATAAAACAAAAAAATTAAAAACAAGAAACAAATCAAGCTGATAAAAAGATTGAATTCAATATTTGGTGACAATATACCATAACAAGAAATTTATAAGCAATTTTTTGTATGCAAATGTAACATAGTGGGGGAAACAAATCTCAAATAAGTATATCAATTACATTTTTTTTTTTGAGAAGTTGTTATACCCTGTGAGGAAAATCTGTAAATTTATATTAAGTTAAATTTATAAATTACAACAGATTAATTAAAATTAATTAGAAAATTTAAGATTGTTTTTTTATTTAAATAAAATGAAATAGTTCTGGGTAATTTAATAATTTCTTCAGCAAGGACACATTAAATTGATTAAATCTATCACAGTTATCACCAAAAGCACTGAAAGCATTAAGCAACACAACTGTTTTTAACACTGATAACAGGAAATGTTTTTTGAGCACCAAACCAGGATATTTAAATCATATCTGAAGGATCATGCGACACTGACGACTGCAGTAACTTCAGGAATAAAGTCCATTTTAAAATATATTCAAATAGAATAGTTATTTTAAATTGCAATAATATTTCACAATATAACTATTTTGATGTATTTGTGATGCACGAGCATAAGAGACAAACATTTTAAAGCATTAAACAGTACAGTGTGCATATGTAAACATTCTCTCTAATTTTACTGAAGAAAATGTGGAATTCTTTGCAGCGCGGAAATCTCTGCAGCCGCAGTCTAACAAGTGGAGAGTTTATGGAAGTAATGACTGGAACAGATCCACATTCTGCATGGATCAACAACACCCGGAGAAAAAGCTGTGAGGAGGGTCTTTTTGCTACTTCACAACATCTCTGAAAGGCTTCAGATGGAGACAATAAAATAAAGCCGGGATCAGAATCCCTGGAGAGAAGCAGTGCCTCCGTACCATGGCAGCATCCATTGTTTACTCTCACAGTGTGAATCATACTCTCCGCAGCGCAATCCCAGACTTAAGTCCCACAGATCTGAGGACAGCTAAGACATTCTGGAGGCTCAATTCATCTGGTAGGAGGTTTTGAATGACGACAGGGGGCAGAATGCCAGGGGAAATCAGACTCTGCCTAAATCAGTGACAGAGATGCAAACCAATGAATTTAAATAATTTAGAAATAATAATAAAATAATAATTTATTAACCAAAGTGCAACATGGCTGATATTGTCAGATAGAGGAAAAGGTACACTGTAGATTACTGTTGTTATCAGTGATACTGGCTAACACACACTTCACTGACTGTGTCATGGTCGATACGAATCCTCTCAGCTTATCTCTTCCTTAAGTCACAGGTAACACACATTAAAGCCTTTCGGCAGTAATTGCAGCCGTCTTGCAGGCTTTCAATAACTAGATGGCTCTAACTATAAGCCAGCACATCACCTGTTTCAAAAAGGACTGTGTTTAAGCATATCATGATTGACAGACAAAAGGTTTTTAAGCTCTATGCTGTACTGAAAATCCCTTACTTAATTTGGTGTTCACGGTAAAAAATGGCTGGCCTCTTAAAAACTGCTGGTAAATCTCATCATGCTATAGTATCCCCAAATCTTGCATTTAGTCTTTTTGACTAAACTGGGACTGATTGGTCATATATCAGTCATTGATCTGAGACATCTTTATGAGCGAAAAAAAAAAAAAAGATTTGTGAATAATTTTGACAATATTGTCTCAAAAACTGAGGTGCATAAGCTCAGATCAATGAGGCCTACGATCAGTTATCTACAAAAAGAAAAACGTGCTAATAAAACAAAAAAATTAAAAACAAGAAACAAATCAAGCTGATAAAAAGATTGAATTCAATATTTGGTGACAATATACCATAACAAGAAATTTATAAGCAATTTTTTGTATGCAAATGTAACATAGTGGGGGAAACAAATCTCAAATAAGTATATCAATTACATTTTTTTTTTTGAGAAGTTGTTATACCCTGTGAGGAAAATCTGTAAATTTATATTAAGTTAAATTTATAAATTACAACAGATTAATTAAAATTAATTAGAAAATTTAAGATTGTTTTTTTATTTAAATAAAATGAAATAGTTCTGGGTAATTTAATAATTTCTTCAGCAAGGACACATTAAATTGATTAAATCTATCACAGTTATCACCAAAAGCACTGAAAGCATTAAGCAACACAACTGTTTTTAACACTGATAACAGGAAATGTTTTTTGAGCACCAAACCAGGATATTTAAATCATATCTGAAGGATCATGCGACACTGACGACTGCAGTAACTTCAGGAATAAAGTCCATTTTAAAATATATTCAAATAGAATAGTTATTTTAAATTGCAATAATATTTCACAATATAACTATTTTGATGTATTTGTGATGCACGAGCATAAGAGACAAACATTTTAAAGCATTAAACAGTACAGTGTGCATATGTAAACATTCTCTCTAATTTTACTGAAGAAAATGTGGAATTCTTTGCAGCGCGGAAATCTCTGCAGCCGCAGTCTAACAAGTGGAGAGTTTATGGAAGTAATGACTGGAACAGATCCACATTCTGCATGGATCAACAACACCCGGAGAAAAAGCTGTGAGGAGGGTCTTTTTGCTACTTCACAACATCTCTGAAAGGCTTCAGATGGAGACAATAAAATAAAGCCGGGATCAGAATCCCTGGAGAGAAGCAGTGCCTCCGTACCATGGCAGCATCCATTGTTTACTCTCACAGTGTGAATCATACTCTCCGCAGCGCAATCCCAGACTTAAGTCCCACAGATCTGAGGACAGCTAAGACATTCTGGAGGCTTAATTCATCTGGTAGGAGGTTTTGAATGACGACAGGGGGCAGAATGCCAGGGGAAATCAGAGCCGAGTTGTCCTGTTAACATTAACTTTCCTACCTCCTCACATCACTCACAATGATACTCATTTAACCATCCCAATGGATAACTGACCTAGTCATCACTGTCATCACAGAGAAACAATACCAGACAGAGTCTGCAGGCTGCAGCTACACAAGTTCTCTCAGTGGCACACACTGGGTGTGTCTCAACATCCAGATTATTTATTTATTTATTTATTCATTCTGTTCTGTAAGTGCACAAGCTCAATTTTACACAACGCTGGAGCCTGCCAATGCATTCAAATGGTCCTTTATGAAACTTTTATGTCATCTTGATTGCACATTATTAAAAACACCAAAGACTTTAGAGGTTTGACTGCAGTACATAACCCATCACTGTTTAAATTCGTGAAATCCAGTTATTTCCATCAATAGTTTATATTTGTATATTAAAAAAAAGAAGCATCAAACCAATATTATGAAATACAAATTAATTAAATAGCTTTAAGTCTTTAAACTTGATCATCAGTTGAAGTGACACTTAATATATTTAAATAAATGGCCCATTTGCCATTTCAGCAATACATATCTGAAGGAAACAAATACAAAACCACAGAAAGGCAGATGATTTAATAACTGATTGGTTATTTACCCGAAAAAATGAACTTTAATCAAATTAAATGTGTGAATCCCATTACAGCTCAAATAACAAGCCACACTAGATCCACTGACCTATGAATTTGATGTTTAATAAAATTGCATCATCATGTTCAAGTCAAGCAGGTGTATACAGAGACGCCTGTAAATAATCAATAATAATGCTTAAAACTTCCCAATATGACACTCACCGCTTTGCTCTCCAAGAAAGACGAGTTTGAATTTCCTTAAAGGGTTTCCAAAGTCATTACCCACAGACATGTTTGAGGGCTTGTTTTTTAACAGCGTGTTCCCACCGGTGTGAATGTCTGGATGGGGCAGCGCGATGGAAAAAGCGGCGCTCCTGTGCGTTTGGAAACGGGAATGCTGCACTGGATCGACTGTCAGGCTGGGTAGCTTCTGCGCATGCGCGGCCTCACCTCACCCCCCCCCCTCCCCCC